AGGCGATCAATGACACTTGTTCAATGAACAAAGTCAGTCAAAAAGTTGTCACGTGACATTTATTTTATCAAAATGGAAGGAATAAAACGGTTATCTTGGAATTTGAAAATGCAGCAGTTATTTACACCAAATGGACACCAGGAATTTCAAAAGTGATGGTTGAAATAAGTGAGAAACTATAGGGAAAACTGCCTGAAGAAAATCAGAATAATCATCGATGGGAAGATGCCTATAAAAGATTCATTAATTGCAACGACTAGACATGATCAAACCTATCAAAGATTCACAACTTGGACATTTTAGGAGTAGTTTTATGCTAAATTTTGAATTATGATTAGTTTTAGAGGATCAAGGGGAAGAGTAAGTCCTCAGATAAACAAGGGGTTAGAAGAATTGAAAATTNGTTTCATTAGTCTGTTATAACTTAGAAACCTTAAAGATTAATAAAAATGTCTTTCCTTTTGTTAATTATTTTACTGTCATTTTACTTGTTTTAAATCCGTTGATTGTGATTATTTAAGGAAGTCTTGAGACAAGATAATTGAATCCAACCTCAAATAATCGCCTAAGATATCACTGTAAAGAGATTAAGTCCATTGATTACAGGAGAAATTCTTTCTAGAGACCAACACCTGCAATCTCTTTTGGCAAATTATTGGGAAAAGTTAGCCATTCGATCATATGCTACTGCTGCCTTATAAAGTCTTCTAATGGATATCAAAGTCAAGCTCCCAATAAATTTAATGTTTTGACTACCAAAGTCGATTGATTTAATATATCTCAATCACTGTATTAGTAACGAGTCTCGATTAATATTGAGATTCACTCTCAATCCAATAACAATGATTTATGTACAATTAGGATTGCAATTCCTAAGATTGCACTGATGAAGTGTAAATTTGCTGACTACCAATCCAATCCCCCAATTTTGTGATCAAAGAAGAGGATGAGAAGACCCAAACCAACTAGAAATAAGTTATAATTAATCAGTCAATCCCTCATAATATCAAGTCCAAATTAGATCTCTATAATATTGCTCTTTTCGAAAAGAATTTCTCCGAGCAATGGACTTGTGAAAGTAATGTCTTCTTCTTTGAAGCTATTTAGCCCAGGAAGNGATATCACCCACTAGGGATAAAAAATTTAATAAATTCTAGTATTTTACTAACTACTAATAACCGCCCTTGTGATGTTGTAAGAGTGGGATTCATTAATTTTATTTATTATTTTATAATAGATTGATGATGACATTAAGTGATAATAATGATGTCGTGTCACCGTTATACACAACATTTACTATGAATTGTAGGTGCCTTTTATATCTCCTCACTCCAGTAATCGTACCCACAGCATACTCTTTAGGTAGATGAACAGTTGATACTCTCAACCAGGAGGTTAGGGGATCACCTCCTACCTTCTCTTTTTTTTTTTTTTTTTGTAAATTCCTGTCTGTTCTGATCTTTTTTCAACTTGCAACTCATTCAAATTTACTTGTCATAGTGAGATATTAAACTTGTAAATAAACAAATATTAAGCCGGTCATAGATCTCCCAATACTAAGTCCAATCAACAATTTAATCGATCAAAAAGGCGATAACGTAGTGGGTGTTCCTGGGTAACATCCTCAAAGCAGCTATTGTGGGAAGAAGTAGAAATTAAAATATTGGGAGGATGTTTGGTGTAGTTAACCTAACTACCCTAACCACACCTCTTAACACCAACTACCCTAGCTTTTTCCGCCCACCAGCTTTGTTTGGAACTCAAAACTTAACCACCATTTCAAGTTGGGTGAGGAATGATTTATACTTTATAAACATATTAATCTCAACATAAAAATGATCTATCTTTAACTAAATTAAAGATAAAATAAGTTCAATTGTGTATAAACTGATTTCAATACCCTTGACCGTTGAACACAAAAAAAAAGGAGAAAATTACACCAAAATTTCCTGAAGTTTGTCACTTGGTCATTCAAACTCCTTGAGATTTGAAATATTACACACAAATCCCTAAAATTTGTACGTGCGTAACCGTTAGACCTATGTCGTCAATGTTTGTCTTACATTTAGTCTTCTTGAAGTTTGTAGGCACGTAATACTTAGACCCCTCAAATTTAAAATATTATACTTAAACCAAAAATATTTTAATCAAAGATAGAATATCAAATATATTAAATTTTAGGGTAAAAATCATTCGGACCCCTGAGTTTTGTCTTAATGACACGAACACCCCTCACATTTTATTAATTACAATGACACCCCTTATCATAAATGAAGTTAACATAAATTGTACAATGACAAGAATAACCCTAATTTTTCTTAATTATAATATTGTCAGTCAAATCATAATGCATAAAATGACATAAATATCCATCTCACTACCAAAACCTTAAAAAATCGAAACCATCGTACAACCCATTGTTTGCACAGAGAGAGAGAGAAATTGAAACCTTCACAACCCGTCGTTTGCCTATAGCCGCTAACCCTTCTCACCCCAAATCAAAACCTTCCTCTTCCTTTTCCTCCCCGATTCCCCCACAGCCTCCTTCTTTCCCCAATCCCCACAAATCTCATCATCTCTCAAACTCAAAAGCCCTAAATTCCACAATGTATTGGCTCCACCAGAGATCTAATCCTACAAGTTGAGCAACACCTACTGGGCGTTGATGCCGAATGATTCTAGTCCACCACTTTGCTAGAATTCTTGCACGTCATACTCGTTTCAAGAGTGTCAAGCTGGGTTGTGGCCAAGGTCTCTCCACTCACTCTCTCTATCTCAATATATGTATAAATAAATACCCATTTTCATTCTATATTCTGTGTGGGGATGTGTTGATGGGTTTTCTTTTCTCTATCTCTACACTTATCCACCAACCCACTCACATACACGTGCTTGTGTCTTAATCAAGTTAGAATTGTTCGATTCTGGGTTGATGAGCTTTCTTCATGTGAATAGATGGGCTTTATTCATGGGAAAGATGACTATATTATGTTTGTTCTCTGTATTGTTTGATTTTGAGTGTTGTTTATGAGTAATTCCTCTACTTTTACTGCTTGGAATGGTGGGTAGTCACATTTTGAGATGCTTGGGTTTNGAGTAATTCTGATTTTGAGTGTTGTTTATGAGTAATTCCTCTGCTTTTACTCCTTGGAATGGTGGGTAGTGACATTTTGAGATGCTTGGGTTTATTTCTTTGGGGTTTTATGTGGCTAGTTAGAAGCTTCTCCAAGTGGTTTAGTTGGACTTTGATTCATTTTCTTTATTAGGATAATGGAAAAATATTTAAATTCTTTTCACTTATTCTAATTTTGTGCTTAGTTGTTTTATTTTATTTGTATTTTCTTTATAAATAAGAAATTTAGGAATGGAAGAAATTAATTTATTTGATGCTGGTTTTCATTCTCTAGGGACTAGGGAAGTATAAGTTTTGTGAAATATTTGGCTCATTAGGTTTAATGTCTGACGTTCTCCTCTGTTCCAAATGACCATTGAAGATTAAAGCAACTCTAATTATTGACTTAAACATTTTTTATTTTTCTACTCAGTTGTAAAAATTTTTTTTTTTGTTTTGTAACATTTTTTTATTTTGCTTGTAACAGAAAATCAAAAATTATTTTTTTTAACAAGAAAACAAGAATTGATTTTCCTGTTTTCCTCCACTTAAGTACATAGATACATGTGTATAGGGAGGCTAATATTATAGCAGATTTTATGGCCTCTTTTGCTATTAAAGTTGAGAGAGTTCTACTGATTTTTCTGCAAATGATCCAGAAATGCTAAGAGTGATTCTGCATCAGGTTTTTCTAGTTGGTCCAGAAATGCAACATTTGTACATGAGAGACTTTTCACATTTTTTTTTTGGTTTTGTACTCTTGTAATTTTGAGATTTAATCAATAAAATTTTTCTTGTTTATTAAAATTTTTCTTTTTTCTTAATTGGTTGATTCTTTATATCAAATCATTGTAGATGAACTATATAGTGAATCCACAGGAAAATTATGGAGAGAGAGAGAGGGTATATGTTTAAATTTCTTCACTCAGTAGGTTTGAAGGATATAATAGTCTTTCTATTATATATTTTTGGAGAAATTTTAATGTATAATACTTAATCTTACTATTGAGGGTAAATTTTGGAATTACAAGGGTTTTTTATGGTGATGTCACTCTTCTCTGTCTATATTATTGACGGCCATGGAACAAAGGGGGTGTCCGTGTCATTAAGACAAAACTCGGGGGTCCGAATGATTTTTACCCTAAATTTTACAATTACAATTCATATTCTATTATGATATTTATTGAAATAAAATTAAAAATAAAAATCTATTTTTTCTTAAAAAATCATAATTAGAACATGAACTATTCAATCTAAATTCATGTTCTATTATAAATTACTTAGACCCTTTATTTGATTTTTTAGTTTTATTCTAATAGATTGNATCATAGTGTTTACATTTAGCCAGAACATTTATTTGGAAACCCAAGAAGATGAAGTATTATTTATTGGGGTGAGGGAGGGATAAATCCTGGTATAGTGGTATGGACTAAACACTTTCAATTCTGCTCTGAACTAGACCCTATGCTTAATTCTAAGGCTTTCCACAGCACCTCAAGAAACATTAATTTGCATACAGAAATAATTCACAGCTAAAACTATACTTGNGAAAAATCTAAATATTATACCCTTCAAAGTTTAAAGGTCTTGAGTATACTTTACTAACAAATATACTGACAGACACTGATAACAGGGGTCTAAATATTACGCGCGTACAAATCTCATGAAGTTTGTATACAATNACACTTTCAATTCTGCTCTGAACTAGACCCTATGCTTAATTCTAAGGCTTTCCACAGCACCTCAAGAAACATTAATTTGCATACAGAAATAATTCACAGCTAAAACTATACTTGATCAACTGTAAGGAGAACTAGAGTCATACGTTGCAAAATACCTGACAAATGGATTAGGCTCAAAAGCAGGAACACCAGGGGGGGCATAGGGATCAAATCGAGCACCCCTGCTTCAATAAATCCATTAATATCGAAACCTAGCACTAATAATTGTCTNATATTTCAAATGTTAAGAGATTTGAATGATTAAGTGACAAACTTCAAAAAATCCAAAAGTAATTCTCCAAAAAAAAAAAAAAAAACTATTACACTGACATAGTTGTATCCTAATTGATGCATTTTATAATCNCTTTAAGCGAGCGAGAGAGAGAGAGAGCTGTTGTCCTACTGGGAAACCAGGCTCTCCGCCTACCCCACCAAAAAAACGAGGATCATTGGGTCCTGCTTGCACATGATAATGATCAGCAAGTTTTTTTCTTTCAATCAAACGGAAAACAAGACACATTGTACTAACCTACAAGCATGCCNGAAAATTGACAATTAATTAAATGAGGACTAAACTGACAAAAAAATACATATTTTAAGGATCAAAAGTGTTACAAACCCTTAATCTTACTCTGTGGAACTCCTTGATCCNTGGAAAACGAGACACATTGTACTAACCTACAAGCATGCCACCAAAACCACCCCTGAAAGACAGTTGAAACAATAAGTAACAAATGGTAAAATGCTTCCACTAAAGGAAATTGTGTGCTCCAAAAAGTGCAACTCATGAATGAAAGCAGTGAAAAATCAGGGGCTGTGAAGAACCTAATAGGGTATATTCCAGCACCAGGCCCAGGGAGGAGATCACTACAACCAACTGTTGGATAAACTGGAGGAACAACCACCCTACATTGTGAACCACGGACAGAAGAAATGAGCTCATACCTTAATGAATGTCACAGTATTATGTGCAAAAAATCAAATACTCTTCTTGCCCTTCCAGTTCCTCCATCTAAAAATCAAATACTCTTTTAAGTGGATGGGTGGTAAGTACGCATTACTCCTTTCTAATGATGCAACTATGCAACCACCGCATACATGACCATTTTAGCTAATTATCCTAATCCTAAGAATCTATCTATTATTCATTTTCTTTATTATCTTGCAATGTTACAACCCAACTTCATCAGTTTGGCTTATGAACAAAAATCTAGGAATCCCAAAAGTACAGCTAAAATGATTTGCTTCAATCTTAAAAGTTCTGATTGGTATCAATTTGGGTCAAGTCAGAATCAATAAGTCACTACCTGGACGCAGAACAACAAACAAATGATTTTGGATATCATGTAGGGCCAGAATAAAAAAAATCCATTATTAAAAACAAACCATCCCACACATAATGTCCCAAAAATTTAATCATGATGTGATAAAATATCAACTTACTACAACGGTCTAAAATTTTAAATTTTGAAGTCCTTATATTTCTCCTTATAGTACCATAGAACTCGTTTTACAATATTTATCCTGCATCACGCTCCACAGTAAATTGAGACTTCAAGAATCAAAACCACCTAGGCAGCAATCATATATGGCAACAACTAAATAATCCATACCCTGAAGGATGAAAAGGTTGAGGGCCTTGAAGTTCAATTTCTCTCGGTTCTATTGTCTCCAAACTGCAAATACAATATCACAAGACAAAATATCAAAGGTCAAAAAAAACAATTAGACCAAAAGAATCTAAACTTTCCAGTATAGCAAAGTAATCAAATTTTTCAGAGAAGGTCCTTGCTATGCAAGACTTACAAAACAATTTGGTTAAGAATATGGAAAGATCACTTTATACATCATGAATAAGTAACCTACCTNTAATGTTCTGATTGGTATAAATTTGGGTCAAGTCAGAATCAATAAGTCACTGCCTGGACGCAGAACAACAAACAAATGATTTTGGATATCATGTAGGGCCAGAATAAAAAAAATCCATTATTAATAGCAAACCATCCCACACATAATGTCCCAAAAATTTAATCATGATGTGATAAAATATCAACTTACTACAACAGTCTAAAATTTTAAATTTTGAAGTCCTTATATTTCTCCTTATAGTACCATAGAACTCGTTTTACAATATTTATCCTGCATCATGCTCCACAGTAAATTGAGACTTCAAGAATCAAAACCACCTAGGCAGCAATCATATATGGCAACAACTAAATAATCCATACCCTGAAGGATGAAAAGGTTGAGGGCCTTGAAGTTCAATTTCTCTCGGTTCTATTGTCTCCAAACTGCAAATACAGTATCACAAGACAAAATATCAAAGGTCAAAAAAAACAATTAGACCAAAAGAATCTAAACTTTCCAGTATAGCAAAGTAATCAAATTTTTCAGAAAAGGTCCTTGCTATGCAAGACTTACAAAACAATTTNGTCATAGTGTTTACATTTAGCCAGAACATTTATTTGGAAACCCAAGAAGATGACGTATTATTTATTGGGGTGAGGGAGGGATAAATCCTGGTATAGTGGTATGGACTAAACACTTTCAATTCTGCTCTGAACTAGACCCTATGCTTAATTCTAAGGCTTTCCACAGCACCTCAAGAAACATTAATTTGCATACAGAAATAATTCACAGCTAAAACTATACTTGATCAACTGTAAGGAGAACTAGAGTCATACGTTGCAAAATACCTGACAAATGGATTAGGCTCAAAAGCAGGAACACCAGGGGGGGCATAGGGATCAAATCGAGCACCCCTGCTTCAATAAATCCATTAATATCGAAACCTAGCACTAATAATTGTCTTTAAGCGAGCGAGAGAGAGAGAGAGCTGTTGTCCTACTGGGAAACCAGGCTCTCCGCCTACCCCACCAAAAAAACGAGGATCATTGGGTCCTGCTTGCACATGATAATGATCAGCAAGTTTTTTTCTTTCAATCAAA